ATGCTTACATCTTTGCAGAGTAATTAAGTAGGTAAGGCCGGCAACACCATCAGCATCAACTGAAACTCCTATTCGACGGATCTCTAAGGATGCCGAACTCTGGTCAAGTAAAACCGAGACAATTAGAATGGGCACTATTTTAGCCGCTTTGAAATCGTTTATTACAACTGACGCCGACTTTCAGGCTCTAGGCGAGAGCGAGGGGGTCAATAGCTTCCTTCTGATATCGCCCCATTTCTCCACACCGCTCTCCTGAACCACGTTCGTTGTGAGGAAGACTAGAGATGAGTTAGACACTTGATTAGTTTTACAAAGAAAAAAGGCATCGGATAAAAAATATCAGATGAGTTATGTACACCTGAGTGAGTTGACATCTGATAAGAGTAATGTTTAAAAATTCAAAAATTTTATTTTATTTAAAGAAACGTAATATATATTTGACACAAGCGTGGGAAAAACAAAAACCATTATTCCCCCCACGCAAGTAACAGATGAATAACATCTTTCTACATCATAAGATCAAGCTCAATGTACATCATCTTTCTTAATTATGTCATTTCAGTCGTTAAACAAAAGAACCTGTTGCCAGTCACCGTGAAGTGATCGATTGATTCTGTGGTGGAGCAGAATAATTTCTCCTATAATCAATCACAATCAGTTGGCTTAATAATCGTACATCAGATGGTTTGTCGGACAAGATGCATGCAAAATACTCCAATTATTATTATCATAATTATTCTCGTAATCATCATTATTGTTATATAGTTATTGTCCGCAGGTACAATAGTTCCCAAGATTCGTTGAGAGCGTAGACACCTGCACATTTCAAACCGCAAGGCCTAACATCTTAGACAAACTACTGTTTTTACGCGTTCAGACTTGGCAAAACAGTTAATTAAGCTTGGAATAAATTCGAAATGTGTACCAAAGAAGCGCGCGGAAAGCACCGCTACTGTTTATCACGACCACCTGCCGATGTATTTCAAACCAGATCGCCAGGATCGATTATGACCTTTCATGCAGCCAATAACGGCGCGTCAATATTTTCTTTACAGGGGAATGACAAGAGACCACTTACAAACAATTGTTTTATCTCCTTATTTTTTTTTACAGTGAACGTACAGAACCATACTTCCTCCTTCCTGGCAGTAAATCATTTTGCGTTCAAACGGACAGCAGCACTTCATATGAGTGGTTGTTTATAAACCGCTCGCCGGGTCTAAACAGTCCGTAGGTTTCGGAGACATCATCCACTTCGCGGCTTTGAGGAATTGAGTTTTCCCGTCAGCTTATGAGCTGTATTGAAATCATAATATTAACGGAAGTCTGTAAATATGCGAGTCGCAATGTCGGCCTTGAGTTAACAAATTCAAGCTTTAGATTTATCCGGTGTCAGTTTTTAGAATTTATCGGCCGGTGTATGTTTTTCACTTTCAATCTGACAGAGTATCAAGAAAAATTAGCTGTTAACGATAATTTGTGATCATCACTTTTGATGGCGAAAACACGGGACAGTGCTTTCGATAATTTCGATAATGATAGCACAAATAGCGCGGACGAATGCAGCGACGATTTCTCTCCAATCGAGATTAGAAATTTCGGAAATAAAAAACGACACCGCAAGAGAAGCGCATCCTTACCATTCATCGAAGGAAGCAATGGTGGACTTTGGAAAGGTTTGGTCGCCGCGAAATCGAAGGAAACACAGTCTGTACAATCTAAAGTAGGTAATTCTCGAGGTACCAGGACGGGGAATGAGTGGAAATCGGATTTACACACAGATGAAACGATGGAATTATCAAATCAAAGGTTGCAGGATGGAAACCGTCCCACGAGAAGAAGTTCGAGCATGCCTGAATTTTATTCCAGATCAGACAGTGGAAAAAAGGTGTCGCATCGCAGGACCGTAGGGAGCGGGCCAAAGACGAGGAATAAAACTGATGAAACCGTAGCGAGGAACTTAGAACTTAGTGACGACGAAAGTAAAACCCTAAGACTGCCGATAATATCTGGCGGCGAATCTCTCAAGTGGGCAAATGATCAAAATGGGAACCAAGTAGAGTCCTCGTCAAGGAGATCTCCAGAAAGCACCACTTTACAGCGAAAAACATATCTTCCTCATATCAACTCAAAAAACGGAACTTTCTTCGTGAAATCAAGGTATTCCGAAAAATGATCCAAATATAATATTTTGCCATGTATGTAACATGCTATTAAAAAAACCCTGTGTTTCATAGAAAAGGCAAAAAAAGCTTAGACGACATGAATGATGTTTTGCTTACGTGACTCGACTGAAAACCTGCAGGTAGGGTATAAAAATCATCTTTACAGTTTGAATTTTCAGAGACACACGCTGAGAATGTTTGCTACGTACATATAAAAGAGAACATCTGCCTGGCGCTTTCAACTCTCCAACTGTTCTCCAAGAAAACATTGAATCGCTTTAAGGAAACGTACATGCAAAATATTCTTGTACATGAGTGGACCATTTGCAAAACATCGTTATTATATTCCATCTCGCTAATTTTCAAGATAAAATTTATCTGCGTAATAATAGTTGAGCGTAGTATTATAAATATGTACTGCCGCGCGAAAGAGTTAAATATTTAAAGAACGGTTTAGCAATAGATTAGGTTGGTTAGCAAATGTTTATGTTAGCAAAAATACTCAATTACGTAACATGTACTATCTGCAGATAGTAGTCTGCGAGAGAACTTTGTGACACCTTAATATTTTTAACTGCAGTTTTTGCTCTAGGGCTGAGAAAAACTTTGACAACGAAGAATTTCTCGGTGCATATCCTTCTTAAATATAATCTCAAGTCACCCGCTTACAAATAACCCTCCCAAAGTTGGATTTTCATCGAGTGAGAAGTTCACAAAAAAAAGGTAGCAATGTAATCGCTAAGTAGCTCATTTTTATGCTTGGGTTTCTTAAATACCCTTCTGATCACTTGAATTTATGCCCCACTTACGCTATTTTTTGCGAAAAAAAAGCTCAGGACAGTATTCAGTAAGCCATTTTCTAATTGGACCTTCAGGAATCATTGGTTTTCTTGTCATATTCTTTCAGACCAGCTGGCGCCGACATTTTCATTCATACGCTAAACTCACGGTTTGCAAAACTTTGCGCATGTCCGATAGACATCACATCGGAAACTTTCATTACTTTCATACAATTCCGATCTCTTTCGGCCGAGTTCATTTCATGTCGGAGGATGACTGTTTTTATACTTGCAATATTTCCGCTCCAAAGTTTAATTACGCCTTACAAAAGCCGAAAAAATCAAGAAGAGTTTGCGGCGCCTACGGGTCATCTTTTGTCCAGTCCTTTTAATAATGAATATTTACTAACACGTTCAGATTTTTTTTCGCAAACTATAAAACAAGTTTAACTTAATAAAATGGGCAAAAACAAAAAAAAAATTCTTTTTAAAACCAAATTCAATTAGATATGATACGAAAATTTTCCTCATAAAGTTTTAAGCAACGTTTATCCATTAAACGCAAGTCCCCGCGGCGATGGCAGTCCATCGAGCTTGATATTTTTGTTCTGAAAGTTTTTATTTTTGCAATGTTTCTGAAGCAGTTTCCGAGGTTGCACCATTTTACAAAATAATGTAAACTATGGAAAATTTACTTCAACGAAACAAAATTTTTTCATACAAAGTTACTCTACCGGTCAAAAAATTCAGCGCCTCTTTCAATTACCGCTATTTCAATTAGTTTCTTCAAAGTAGTTTTCTTTTTTGTTCAAATTCAATAACATTCGTTACATGTTAGACGCGCCGAAATAATAAAAAATGCATGTTTCGAACGCCCCGCGAAATACCCTTCACACAACTTCCATACAAGGCACTTTTGAAAAGGAAATTGGCATGAACTCGCCGCTGTACGGGCTGAGTAAGGAGTACTGACCTCATCATCAGAGCGAGGCAGCACGGGGTGTTTTGTAGTTCTCCCGATAGCAATAGTCCTTGTCAGGGTATTAAGTACAACGCTTTTCTCCGAAGAGCTCTTTGATGGATTAACACAGCTGGCAAGCTCTAAATTTATTCAACCACTCGAATAAAAAAATAAACCCCATAGACGATTTACCCCTTCAAGAAGCTTGAATTTTAGTGTTATGTAATTTAAATTGAATTCTGACGAACTACCCGTGATATCAGCCTTCCCTGTAGCTTGCCGGCTCTATCAAAAAGTAGTTTTTCGACGAGTTTTAATATTTGACTTCAAGTGGTCCTTTTGCTTTGACAGTGTGGAGTACGTGCGCCAGAAGGTTACCCCTCCACAACATATGGTTTTAAATTAGGGTGTTGTGCTTAAAAATAGCCTTTCATGCTCTATGTCGCTCGCTGGTAACAACAGTTTGCGTGCGTTCCGCTCTTGCGTGCACAGCTTATCATTCAGTGTAACCTGCAGGCGTCCGCCCACCCCACCAAAAGCTGAAATTGTCTTATTGCAGTGTCCCACCGATGTATTGTTTGGATCGGTTCACATAATTCTGCCGAGATCACGATCTGAAAGAAAATGCAAAATCCATGCAACAAGCACGAAACTACAAGGGCTCTGAGCAATGGAATGTTAATGTTTTGAAGTCTCGTACTCTAAGATCTTGTAATACTTTCACACTACAAGTAAAGAACAACATGACCAAAATAACGAAAATTGAAAATCACAACCACTTCGTCTAATTTTGAACAACCATTTCATACTAGAGACTGTCCTTGTTATACTCGATAGAAATACCTCTAACTAATCGAGTTTGATGCCCGTACTGAGCGTTACGAATCGAATTTTGACCGCTCGGTTTTATGGCCCAAGTGCGAAGCGCCCGCTAAAGTGACCGATCAGAACGCACATGCGAACTTAGAGATATCGTAAAAGTATATATCGATTTCGGTACTTATATGGAGAAGTTTATTTAGAACCATAAACTGCTATTACTCGGCATCCACTGTTGCGTGTTCATGAACCCAAACAAAAGTAAACGACAAAGCATTCCGTCGCGTCACATTTTTATTTGGCTATTCCCTAACACAAAACACCACAACTACAATAAACATAACGCTAAACAAAACATGAAAACGAAGTGTCTAGGACAGTAAGGCAGCCATATTACCACAATCCACCCGTACGGTTGGCCCAATACAAAACCTTTACTTTTCCACTATTGTTCGCGCACTACGCCAACATAGCTGTCATATTGGGCCCACGAAACAGCTCTGTTCAGCATTATAATTAAAACAACGGCATTTTGTGCGCATTGTAATGACAGGGCTTAATCGACATTGCTGCTACATTGCGGCGAAAAGAGAGCCATATTGAAACTTAAGGTCGTCGTAGGTATTTTTTTCCTCCAGCTCCTCACTGTCAAAGACACTTTTAAATTACATATCAAAACCATTCCGTTAGCTTTTCAGCTACCATCACAAGACAGTCTTTATCCGAGACATAGGCCTTCAATAGACAATTTCAATCCTGTTCCGCTTTAAGAAAATTGCTGCGCCCGCGTGTTACCAGCGGAATGCGGCGCTTGTGTCATGCTTGAAGAGACATTGCCGTGATAGTTCATAAATTGTTGGTTACCATGATAATGATAGTCTCCAGACCCCTTTCCAGCGGCATGGTCGCTTCCTGGCATGTAAAAGGCATTGGAAGACGAGCTAGCGGGCTGGGCAGCAGTTTGAAAAGCATGCGCACCATGCATAGGTTGGCCTTGATTCTGCGCATGCTGTGACTGCGCTCCGCCGAAGAGAAACTGATCGTTGCGATGCTTCTGATGTTTCTTGCTTTTGTGATACGGCTTAGGGTTTCCGGCTCCTTGTTGCATAGGCCCGCGAGGATTCTGTTGGTTTTGCAGCGGTGTGTTGTATCCACCCATGTGCATATGTTTCCCCTGGCCATACCGAGTGATCGATTGAGCCCCTCGCCAGGGTGTGGGATGGTGCTGGTTGGGTACGAACGGCGGGCCTTGGTGCAAAACTTGTTGTTGCTGCGGTTGTTGTTGCTGCTGCTGAGTTTGTTGTTGCTGTGTCTGCCCGGGACTGCTTCTGTCCAAAGAATTACGGTCAGAAAAACTTGTGCCCTCTTGCACAACTGGCTGAATTTGAGGGGGGTGGTAGCCCTGTGCATTTAAGAAGACAGACACAAGCAAAATGTATTACTATCAGTTGTTAAAGAACCCCATCAGTATGTACAAAATGCAAGACAGCATTGACCAAACTCGCATTACTGACTTATTCACCTGCATTTGCTGAGCCTGATAAATAACTTGTGGTACCCCAGGGTTACCAGGCTGTGGCATTGAAACCGCGGGATGCACCCCCATGTGATCCTGGGAAGGCATCTGGTAGAACGGATAATACATCATGTTTTGGTTGGTCCATTGCTGATTGCACATGTGGACATGGTACTGCAATATGGACAACAAGTTAATCAAAGAAATCTCCTCTCGACTTAAGTATTGGCTAAATTATGATCTATAGTCAACTCCCGATAACTTGAACCTTCAAAGGGAGCTATAAAGGTTTGAGTCAACCATTGTACAGGCACTGGTGTTAATGTACCATTGACTGAAAAAATCTAAACTAAACTGACACGTTATGTGTATTGCAAAATAGGGCACAGATAACAAGGCTGCCTCAAAATAAATTAAAACGAATGTTTTGGACTGTAGTACATTGTTTTAATTTGTCATGCATTGACAGACGTGGTTCGAGTTATCGAGGGTAAAATATAAAGAGAGTGACCTGAGGGAAAACGAAAATTGTTTCGACTACGCGGAAGGTTCGAGTTATCGAGAGTTCGAGTTACCGAAGGTAAAAAATGCAGTACACGACGGAAATTGATCTTTGTTCGTGTTTCCGAGGGTTCAAGTTATCGGGACACGACTGTATCTATCGAAAAGTCGGGGGAGTTGATAAGAGTCTTGGGAGAAGGAAATGAGGGTGTAAGACTATCAGTCTCGGAAAAAACTTTTTTTGACAAAAATCGATGTTTAAGAAAATTACAGTGTTTCACTGCACTGAGAAGGATTGTAGTCTATCCCAGACTCTTTCCCATCGCGCTACCGAGGATAAGCGTCGCAATGGTGGAAAGTTAGGTCAAAAATCAAACTACATGCATGGGAAACTGGTCGAGCAAAGTGCGACGACAACTGGTGAGAGTTTTGGGTGTTATCGAACAGTTTAAGCTTTACCTGAAATCCAAGGTTGAAGAAATATCGGAGAGTGTTAGGGTCTGGAAAATAAAAAAGGTACACCGTAAGCATCTTTGTGAGTGCGTTCGACGAACCCTACTTGAGTTAGCTTCGTATTTACGGAAATATCTACTCTGATAAGTAAATATTTAGAGGTTACCTGCTAATCGAGCTGGCAAAAGCTGAGCGCCTTAACCCTTCAACTCCCAAGAGTGACCAAGACAGAATTTCTCCTTACAATATCAATACAATATCAAGCAGACAAGTGATGAGAATAAAGTAAACGATCAATTGGGGGATTATTGGTTGATCCAATACCAAATTCTCCAAATTGACATCATAAGAATTGTATGGCAGACAGTAAGGAGAATTACCA